TTGATGAATTATGATAAAAGCAAGGATAATTTTGTTCTCCTTTTCTAAATTTCAGCATTGGTGAGCTAATTATGCAAGATATACAAAGAGTATTTGGCAGCTACCTGGAATATGTGAAGTACATTACAGATGCCATGAATAATGTATATAGCAATATTAATGCCATGCCTTTAATTGCCTATAGTAAACATGCCATGAACATTGCTCATGAGAAAGTAAGTATCTTTGGATTTTTGTTCTAATACAAGGTTGTGTCAGCACTAGGGCTCCCTTGCTGCAGTATAGCTTGAGGAGAGTTGTATAAAGTTGGCCTTGACTGGCAGTGTCAATCCATACCAACTTGTTATTAAATTAACTGTATTATATTACAATATAATCATAGATCTATAATATATGGTAAGGGTCATAGTTTTCTCTAGACTTAATCATTCATTGGACTTTACTTTGGTGTATGTGTGTATAGAGAATGCACTGTAATTAAAAATATTGGCCTCATTGTTTTAAGAGTGAACTATATTTTAGGTGGTCTTAAGTTTGAATAAATGGTACAGAATTTGGGGTGTTTTCTCTCTGTAAATGACTGAACAGTTCAGTGAATTTTATTCTTGCTTGGTTTTTCTGTTTATGTTCTATGCGTACTTCTTATGGTATGAACCTAATAACTAAAGATGTTTACATTTATGAACTTGGAATGAAACTGGCACAAAAAAAAGTAAAATTCTAGTAATCCAGTAAGGACTCTATTTTCATGTTAACTTACTACACCTGCTTCTCTCCTACCACAAAAATTGGTGTTCTAATAATATTTACATGTTATATACAACAAAGTTCCTACATTGTCTCCATTAACCTTTATTATATGAAAATAGAGGATTTAAATTCCCAACACTATGAGCTGATAGCTGAATTAACTTAGGATTTTAACTAGTAATGACATTAATACTGTCGCGTCACATACACCCAACACGTGACAGTTTGGTCATGTGATCATGAAAATATATGACAACTAATGGCTGCAGTGTATTTATGTCTCAGAGAAGCTATCACATGAGAAATGCATGTACACCTTGAGATTACGAGTGATGTTGCCATTGTTTCTGAGGAACCAAGAAAGTTAAGCAACATTTTATTGGGTAAGCATTCGGATGGGTGACCACTCTAGAGCTTCAGTTGCCTAGAGTTTTTTGATGCATTCCATAGCCCTTGTAAGGGCCATCTGTACAATTTTCCTGGTCCACTGTCCCTACTGCCCTAGAAAAGGCAAACCCCTATTCTTTCTCCTCTTTTCCCATTCCTTTTCAAAACAATGTTATACATACAAAGCAACTCACCAACCTATACACTTCGATCCTGAAGACAGAGGCAACATGTACCTCCGAAACGTCGGCAATATCGCCCACAGCCATACAATGTGAGAACCAAGGAACAGAATTAACATCAATAGTTAACAGCCATAAAAGCCTAAAGTCGTAAGTTTATATGTTTGTATGTAGTAATTGTTAAAAATGCCAAACCTGTTTTTGCTTAGTTATTTAGTGGCCATTGTGATCATGCAGACCATGATATTTGTGATTGGAAATGTTTTGAAACTTTGGGAAATCAGAAGGTGAAATGAAGAGCAGCCTGATAATCTTGATATAAGATGAACTACTGGGTATGAGGAGTTACAAGGGCAAATCAGAAAGGCTTTGCCCCTATTTTTTTTTCAGCCACAATAATACACATACATGGAAATAAAAATAGGCAAAGACTTTTCGATTTGCCTTCATAAAAATGGGGATATACAGACTATTATTTAAAAAGAGTGTAACAACAACAATAGCCATCACTTCATGGAATAGGCGAATTGCCTGTTCTGGCCTCTAATGTTATTCTGTCTCCACTTTCTTGTTCCTCCTATGTCTCATCTACCAGAAAACATAGCAAATGAAAAGGATGAGGAAGCCTGAAAAAATTAGATCAGTATAATCACAATGAAAGGAACATGTGACTTGTCAAGAAAAATGAAAAATAGAAAGCCTACTGGATCTGATGGAATTAAAAAATAATCTTATAATTCATTTATGCCAATTTATAGGCAGTGAGGACGTATTTCTAGTATTTCCATTCTGATTAGATAAAGTTGAAAAATGGTTCATTGTCATAAAATTTGGTGTCCCTTAACAAACGTGGAATAGTTGACATTTTTAATTATTATCCAAGATTAAATTAGAGCTGATTAAATATTCATTGATGGTGTGATTTAGGCCAAATGGGTGTGGCAGCACTACAGGTTAAATGAAAACATCAAGGCCCAGGTACACAGCTGGATTGAGAACTTGGACAAGATTCTGCTAAGGTTGCTGAATGCTATTGACATGGATGCAAGGTCTCCAACTAAGAGCCTCACACCAAACATAACTCTCCATCCTGATATTGGTCTTATTGAGTACAGCCAGAAATTACCCATAGAATGGAATTGTTTCAATGAGCTACCTAAGTTTGAGCAACTGCAACTGTATGAACAGCTTAAGGACCATGCTAATGAAGTGGCTAGTCTTGAGAAGTAAGGGTAATTTTTAGCTAACTATATATTCATACAGTGAAATAATAGATTTATGTGATGCATATGTACAACAGCCATAAGTGGTTCATGCTATCTGAGGCGGTACTTAGTATAAGAATAAAAACCGAAGTATAAAGATATTCTTGTCTTTTAAGTAAGCACCACGCCATTAATACTTATTAGGGGAGTGGAGGTAATAGCTCCATACATTTTTAATCTTGGCATTAGATGGAGATGAGTAGTCACCTTCATGACCTGACTGCTTTACCATTGGAAAAAGAGCCCCTGGTATCCACTGGGTAAGAAGCTGGATAGATCCAAGATGCAGTCTGAAAGCTTGGAATCACTACTATATATCTCAGTTGTCCATCAAATAGCCTAGTCGCTATACCAGCTGAGCCCTCCCAGCTCACCAAGAAAGAATTGCTTGTAGCATTCTGATTGAAGTTTGGTGTATTTAATTTAATAACTGCTTTATTAGTATAAGAATAGTGACTAACAAAGAATTTGTTTAATCTCACAACATAATGAACTCAAATTAGAAAGCTACCAGTGATCTTTGCCAAGATTAGCCTGTATTAGTTTCCAAGTATCTTCTTATCTCTTGGAGCTGAACATCTGTTCATCGGACCTGAACCAGCCTGTGGCATCTCTATAGAAGTTGCCAGAAAGGCAAACAGGGACTGGACAAATATGAAACACAAGAAATACTGAGAATCCTTGACTGGACTCAGGCAAGCAAAGGGACTCATAGAAGGACCCTCTGCTAAAAGAGCGAAGGAACTGTTGAAGTTAAACAGGAACCAGCTACACTGGGTGGTGGGACTACTTACAGGACACTTTCACCTTAAAGGACACCTCTGCAAACTGGGACTAAGTAATAGTCCCACTTGTGAGAGGTGTCAAGAATAAAATGAAACAGCCACACATATCCTGTGTGAATGTGAGGCCTTAGCTTATTTACGATTACGTCACTTGGGTCAATACTTTATGGTACCAAGTGACTATTTTGACGCCCCCACGTACAAAATCCCATTCTTCATTTGAAGCGCAGGATTGCTGAGGGGATAATCAAAAGGGGAAGCACAATAGATCACTGTAGGTCGCGGTGCAAGGACCGAGAAGGCTCACCCTTCATTCATTCATTCATCCATCCATCCATCCCTCCCTCCCTCCCTCTATCTTCTTATCACAAGAAGTGCGGGGAAATGTGTTTTTTTTTATAGTGAATGGAATCTAGGTTAAATACTCAAACTTTATTCTTTGGAGATACAGTGCTCGAGTATTCAAAGATTACTCCATCCATACACCATTCATTTCAGTTTTATAAACAATAAAATACTGCCAAACTTTTAGTCAGTGAACATTGCAATTGTGTGGGTAGTTGTACTGCTTTTTATTCAGGAGGTCCTGGGTTCAGTTGCCTGGAGATCAGCTATTCTGGCTGTTCTGACATGTTTCATGTGGATTTCTTCAGTCCATCCAGGCAAATTGTGGGATAGTACATCAAATTAGACCACTTTCCTACACATCCCTTACAATTCATTATTCGCTAATCATCTTACAATTGAACATTATACAGGTTGAGCTAATGCCAGGGTCATTACAACTTTTAAATAAATATTAATTCTAGTCAGTTATGAAGGTTCTCACAATTCATCATGTTTAATACAGTTGTTAGTATATAAAGATTACTTATTTGCTTAGACGTTTTTCACTCTGCAAATTATAAAATTTTTGGTGGAAATATTGATCATGCAAGAATTAGAGTCTTCACTAACCTGAAATGACACTTGTGAGGCATACTTGGCAACTTTATGATGCTCCAGCAAACCCTCCAATATCTGGCATCTATGGGGAATGAGGTATGTCAGTTACATGAGAATAACTCTTGTAGAAGTCCAGTACAAAGCCAAAACAATAAGTTTTTCTTCATTTCATGTGTGGGAGTCTCCCTGGGTGACATAGCAGAATGACAGGTGAGAGGTTTCAGATACATATACAGTAATGTGACCACAAACTCAACTAGCCTCTATTGTAGTGGCATTTTATGTGAGGTAGGATGATAATGAGTAACACTGCTGGTGGCAGCTGGGGGAGCTATTGCATGGAAAGGAACATGTGTGTATCACAGATTTATTTTTCAATAATTTTGTAAAAATGGTCAATTTTCTTTGAAGTTTTTTGCCTGTTGGATGGAGAGTCTGGATGCCTGAATACTAGATAACCAAGAGTTAGCTGTATGTAGAATTTGTCACTAAGGAAATTTTGAGTTATCTGACTGTTGAAGAATTGCACCTAAAATGATTTAACTACACTTTACTCTTAAGGGACTCTTTGACATTTTGTCTGTGGAGAGGAGTAACTGACATCTTATATTTGGTTCATTTTACAACAGTACTGTCTGCTTAGCACACTGTTGGTAGAGGAGAAACTCAGCATTTGCCTGTAATAATAAATTAGTAATTTCTGAAAACATAAATTGGAGATATGAGTGGACAAGAATGTAAGAAGGTTGTGTGCAATAAGAATACTGGCATTAATTTTCAACTACATACTATAATTGCAGTATAGCATGGATTTCTTGTGACAAGCTGTACATGTATTCTGTACTCTTGCCATTCCTAACGTACATTTAAACCTGATGCATTTTAGTATGAAACTTTCTCATCTTGCCAATATTATTTCCAGAGTAGGTTTTTGTCACTCTTTTATGCCTATTATATTGCAGTTTCTTGACCTTGCCTGCATTTGCTTCTCATTGTTATTGTATAAAGGATGTCATAAAGATATCAGGAGATTATAAGCTACCTTAAATATGAGTGTTCATGATAAGTAAATTAAATATTTGTTAAAGTCTGACCAGAAAGACAGAAAATAATGTAATTTCTCCCTTTCACTACAGATACAGATATTACCTGATGAACACCTTCTATGACATCACCAACAACATCTCTTTGACCTCGGCAATTCCACCTTTCTCAGCGTATGGTATGGTGATTGGCAATCATCACTATATCACTTATGACAAAAAATTCTACAACTTCACAGGAGCAGGGGAATGCAGTTATCTACTTGCAAACGATTTCCTCCATAACAGATTCTCTGCATTTGTTACCTACAAGATTGAGGTAAAGTAGGTGTGGATTACAGTACAGTAGTCTCCATAAACATAAGCAGGTATTTTAAAAAGGAATCCAGTGAAACAAATTAATACCACTTTTCATGTTCAGATTGATTCATTTGCTGTTACTTTGTTCAGAAGTATTTTCAAACTTATAAAAAGTAATAAAATTCTTTATTATTCAGTTGCATATTATGGAAGCTGTAAAAGAACTGTCATAATGAACTGAGTAACCATTATTACCACCAGAACTTTTGTCCATTACCTAGAAACAGGCCACAGCCACCTACTTTTCTACTAGTCACCAGTCGTGATCAACATCTCATTTCATTCAGTACTATGCAACTTCTTGATTTGAAACAGCATCATAAAATAACCACCTAATCAGTCATTTCAGATAAGTGGTTACTAATAACGAAAGTAGTGTACAGTTAGTCAAGAATGGTTCCAACATTCTATATGCTCCATATCTTTACTCTAGTGAGTTGTATTTCATTTTTATTTCTTGTATTTGATGTCTACATTTTATGCCAGAATATGGAGGCCGTGAAGAAGTCACTGTCCGTATTGGTTGAGGGCCATCATATCGAGATAAACTCCAACAGACGAGTAGAAGTTGATGGATTGTGTGTGGATTTGCCAGTGGCTGTTGACAGTCAAACATGGATCAAGCGTACTGGAGAAAGAATACTGGTTCACAGTGAACTTGGAATTGAAGTAGAGTGTAATTTTCTTTATGATATATGCATAATTGAACTGTCTGGATGGTATTTTGGTAAAACTGGTGGAATGCTGGGAACATTTGACTATGAACCAAGCAATGATCTTACCTTTCCAAATGGAACTGCAGCACACACAATAGAAGCATTTGCCAATAGCTGGCATGTAGGATCTGCACGATGTCATTCTGTGAATCATGCTACACTTCCTATAAACTTACCCACCAGTGAAGAATCACAAACATTAGATAGTAATCAGTGTACAGCATATTTTGAGGACCAACTCTCACCACTTCGTCGATGCTTTTCTCGAGTTGAAACAGGCCCTTTCTACCAGATGTGTCTCTCTGAACTGGCCAAAAATACAGGAGTATGCACATCTGTGGCAGCATATGTATCCCAATGCAGGAGAGCTGGTGTGGACATCTGGATACCCCAGAAGTGTGGTGAGTTACAGAATTATATGATGAAGAATGTGATTTATAGGTCTCTGTGACATTATGACATATTTTAAAAAATTGACAAGAACTGAAGTATCCGCTAGCCAATTTAGTTGTGCAAGTTTCTTTTGTCAAGCGATAAAAAATTATTTATATGATGTATAACCCTTTGTCACACACAGGAGAACACAGTAAAATTAATGTACTCATATGAAAGCAAAGTTTATAAAAGTTGTTTGAATTAAGTGGTCTGATAGTTTCCAGATATGAGTTTAAAAGAAATAGCAAAGGATTAATACACCCTTTTCATTTTTGAATGAACACAGCTCTTTATAGCATTTAAAGTAAATTTATGTTTAATCAAAAGGAATTTTGAGCATATTTTTAACCTCAGGTAGTCATAATTTTGGATCTGTGTACTGCAGTTAGCAGTAAATAGAAACCCCACAATTAGTATTACTTTATTGTTAGGGCGATGTTTTCTTTTATTTATTTTGATAATTCAATTAAATTTTAGCATAGTATATATACAGGATGTCCCAGGAGGAATGGACCGAACTTCGGGAGGGTGTTCCTTATTTAAAGTATTGCTAATATAACCCAAAACACCTATGTCCAAAGTTGAACGGTTACGGAGATAACGGCCAGAGAAGTGTCAAACTTTGACCGGTGTTACACACTTGTTGATTTCAAAATACATATTAAAACTGGCAGGAATATGTGGATTCTGTAATGTTAATAATGTACGTAACATCAAACTAACTTGTGAGTGACGTGAAGCCATAAAATTGAAGTACAAAATACTCGCTTGCCATGTCATAATTGTCCTTAGGGTTTCCAAGCACTATACATGACACATGACTGGCAAACGCTGATGTAATATGGCTGACTGCGCTATAAGCCGACCACATAACTGCATTAAACGTACATTCACGGAAAATGTCTTTGGAATTTCATTTCCATTATCTCATGTGGATTATTATGGGACCACATATGCACATTTCGTAAATTATTTACACCGCCCAGGATAAAAGACGCCTCATCACTATACATGACACATGAATGGCAAGCGCTAGTGTAACATGACTGACTGCGCATTCTGCTATAAGCCAACTACATAAGTACTAAAATACAGTACTTGCTTTATAGTAATTGTTCAAAGTGTCCTCCGCCAGCTGCAATGCAGTTTTTGGCACGCATCATGAGGGATTGGGTAGCAGAAGCAATGTTGCCTGAATGGTGATGTATGTGTTCTGCCGCTGCAAAAATACGATTCCGCAGTGCTTCTCGGGAATCGACCTTAGTTTCGTAGACTAAGGTCTTCATGTGGCCCCAGAGGTAATAATCTAGAGGCGTAAGATCTGGCGACCTCGGTGGCCATGCAATGGGACCACCACGACCTATCCAGCGGTTAGGGAAGGATTCATCTAAGTAGTGTCTCACGTGCTGAGTGTAATGTGGAGGAGCCCCATCATGTTGGAAGTACATTTTCCTCCTTATCGTTAACGGGATGTCTTCCAACAAACATGGTAACTCATTCCTTAGGAAGGCTCCATACGTGTTTCCAGTTAAATTGTTGTGAAACACAAAAGGTCCGATCAACCTGTTCCCAAGCACACCACACCATACATTCACAGAAAATCTCTTTTGGAATTTCGTTTCCATTATCTCATGTGGGTTATTATGTGACCACATATGAATATTTCTTAAATTATTTACACCGTCCTGGGTAAACGACGCCTCATCACTGAATAAAATGACGCTTAACAGTTTGGGGTGAGCTTTTATCCAGTGGCAGAAATCCATACGCTGAGCATGGTCGCCTGGTTCCAGATGTTGTACCCTTTGATCATGATAAGGATACAGGTCTTCATCATGTAAGGTTCGCCACACCTGCATACGTGATACGCCGATGCGAGAGGCCATTCTACGAGTGGACAGACGCGGACTTCTTTGAACCATTTCAAGAATGTTCTCTCGTGTGTTTCTCATTTGTACATCCTCCCTTTCCGACTGCACAGAAACACTTGGAAGAGAACCAGTCTCACGTAATGTCTGGTGAATTCGCGTACACGTCGAGATGGAATCCTTCGATCAGGAAAGCGCCTTTGGTACTCTTCAACAGCAGCACGTGCATTGCCACCACAAAATCCATACACAAAATTCAACGTGTGAAAACAAAAGGCAATTCAGCAACACCGCACAACTACACGTAATTTACTAACCATTCACGACGCTGCCGCAATGTACACTGTAGCCTCTGTAGGTAGTGCATAATCTTACGGCTAGTGTGAATCAGACACTCAAGGACAAACAGATAAGAGAACACAGCTGACAGGTATAGTGCGTGGACCCGCCCGAAGACCACACTTTTCTCGGGCCATTATCTCCCTAACCGTTCAACTTTGGACATAGGTGTTTTGGGTTATATCGGCATACTTTAACATAAGGAACACCCTCCCGAAGTTTGGTCCGTTCCTCCTGGGACATTCTGTATATACATACATACATACATACATACACGAGGGTCGTACTGAAAGTCATGAGCAACAATTTTTTGTAAAGTAACATGCTTTATTATTGACAAATCTCCACTTCTTTGCACACATTTCTCCCAATGTTCTGGGAGTTCAAAAATTCCCCTTCTGTAAAATTCCATTCCAGCCATCCGAAGACACTGACGCACTTCTTTCTGAATTGCCTCCCTTGTCTCAAAACATTGTCCACGCAGCTGATCCTTCACAAATCTGAAAAGATGGTAGTTGGAGGGTGCAAGATCAGGGCTATAGGAGGGGTGTGGAAGAAATTCCCACCCCATCTTTGCAATTGCTTCCAGTGTGAGGCAAGCGGCATGGGAGCGAGCATTGTCATGCAGGATGATGATGTTTCATCCCGGACGTTTATCGTGCAGTGCATGACGGAGCTTGTGCGGCGTCTGGACATAACGAGCAGCATTGATGGTTTGCCCAGGTTCCCAGAATTGGGCCAGAATAAACTCCTCTGCATCCCAGAAGACTGCCCATCACCTTCGCAGCTGATGGCTGATGGAGAATGCAAATGGTGCCATTCCATACTCTGCCATTTCATTTCAGGCATGAAATGGTGAAACCAGCTTTCGTCACCAGTCACAATACAGAGCAAAAAATCATCACATTTGTGTCGATATCTCTGCAGCAGTTCTGAGGTGATGGCTTTTCGCTGACCTTCGTGGTCTTCGGTAAATAACCGCGGGACCCAACAAGCACAAACTTTCTAATAGCCCAAGCTTTCAATCATCTCCTGTACTGCACTGTGCCCTATTCCAAGTTTTCGGACTATTGTGTCCACAGTCACAAGCCTGTCATCTTGAATGATCTCATCCACTCTTTCCTTGTTGCGTTCAGTTGATGCTGTTCGAGGACGACCGCTCCGAGGCTCATCTTCGATGCTGGTGTTCCCATCTTTAAAATGTTTCACCCATGCACACACTTCCATAAGCATGCAGAAGTCTGGTGAATTTCTGCAGCAGGGATTTCCTCTTTCACAAGAAATTCGATGACAGCACGCTGGCGAAATGACATATGGTTGTTGGCCATTTTGTTAGGAGTGATACTGGTCACATGATGCAAGCTGTTGATGTCACAAGACACTCAAGGTTAACACAACAGCTGGTTCCACCTACCACTGTACTCTTTCGTCTGCTGTTCCCAGGTTGCATGCAATAAAAGTTGCTCATGACTTTCGGTACGACATGTATATATATATATATATAACTGTATTTCCATGTTTTATTTTAAAATCACTGTGTAAAAATCATAATTTCTTTGTTATATGTTGTACTTAAAATGCATTGATGATTTGTTCAAATGTTCACTTGCTCTAAAATATATATTAAAACTTATACAATTATAGAATAATTCTGTATATTTTACATGTTAAAGTACATCACATTTCGTTTTTAAAAGCACTTCTTATTCACTTTACAAGCAGCTAGTTCTGCATTATCCTTTTAACTAACTCACTTCACTGTGTACATCTGTCAATAGAATATTGGTTAATCCAGCAAGTGGTCCAGGCAGAAGTCTGAATTAAAAACTTATAGTTGGTAAGGATATGCAAAATTTTCCAATCAGGATTACTGGGTTTTTGGACTTTGTCCACCATCTAAAGAACACATTGGTGTATAAAGTCTGAAAACCCAGTACTCCGAACTCCCAAGTGTTATACTCCATGGTCAGAATGTTTTAGAAAATTTTCCAGGCCCCGTATTTCAAACTAAAAAACTCTGGAGTATTGGTTTCATATTGATTTTATCCTTTTGTAATAAATGTATTTATTATTTATTGACTTTGAATTGTACATCTTTCTTCCAGTTCTGTTCATCAGCTTAATATTTTGTGTGTGCAGGTTTCTGTAAGACCATGTGAAACAGTAAGCCCAATAAAAGACACCATCCCATTTCAGTTGTAATGGGAAAATGGAATTATTTTTAAATACCACCTTAAATTCCCAGTGGTAAATATTGGTACTTGTCCAATGTTCTAATTCCTCATTCTTGACACTAACAATTCTATTTTTAGCAATCCAAATAGAATCTCTCTTATTATGTAGTATTTCATTATTATTGGTAATGGAACTATTGCAATAAAAAGTTGTCATCATCATCGCTGCTGTATTTGAGGTTCATATTATATTTCAGAATTTAAAGGTTTGTCCTAGTGAATGAATGTCAACTGCTTCTTACAGTGCATTGTCCAACTCTAAATGGCAGTACAATGAATACAAGCCAACTGGAGGTGTATGATGGTGTGGAAGCCATGTTGGCTGATGTTGTGTTTGTGGTGGAGCAGTCATCTTGCATTAAAAAGATCAACTTAGCTGAGCTGGTGTCAAAGCTGGACACTGCAATGAACCTTCAAGGACTGAATACCCGTTTTTCTGTAGTGGGCTTCAATGGGAACAAATTCAGTGAACCTTATACCCACACTTCTGGTGGAGAAATATGGGCTTCTCTGAAAGGAACTGAGAAGGTCCTACGCAGGTAAGGGAGTGCAGACAGTGTCTGGTCCATTCTGGTAGCTGTACATTGTAATTACAATTATTATTTTGTCAGCTGTTAACATATCAGTTTCCTACCATTATGCTATATTCATCAAGGAGCCTTGTCAGCCTGATCAATAAAGTGAATGCTTAAGGAATTAATCTGAAGGATTTATGTAGCTCTCTCTTACATTATGGTTTTGTGCTGCATTCTGGTGATTATATACAAACCAACACTTAGTTCTCTGAGTTTACTTGTATTGTAGACCAACTTCCTTACTAGTGTCTTAACAGACCTTACTGTTATGATGTTTGTATCATCAGCACAAATTAGAATTTGATATCTCTTATTCACTTCTAATCCTTCCGGTTTTTCCTGGACCTTTTTAACACTATAATTTAAAGAAAAGTTGAAAAGCAATGACAGTGAAGCATCTATTTGGTTCTTGATTTTTGCTTGGTGTTACAATTTCTGAGGTGAAATCCACTATTGCACTCCTTTAAAAGAAATCAATATTGTTTATTATAGGTTCAGTATGTTGCCTTGTATTTATTGTAACTAGTGATTTTTATTTTTTGGCTACATATGTTGCACAAAAATAATGAGGATATGGGTTCATAACTGGGGAGGGTTGTACATCAATGGAGTCTTGTACAGAGTCAAATGTGTTCACTAAGAGTTTGCATATCTGATGGCCTTGATATTTATTTCTTGAAAATTTGAATTTATTATTTCTGGTATAAATGTATTATAAAGCTAACAACATTGTAGGTATCACATTGTATGAGGTCAGAAATTATTTTCTCTTGTATGTTATTACATATTGACCATATTGAACAAGGCTTCTGAAAAATAAGGTATATAGCTTAGTAATGTCTGTATTCTGTGTCATACACCAGAATTTTTTTGTGAGTTGAACTGTTTATGAGAAAATTAATATATGATTTGAATTTACTTAAAGTTATATTAGTTCAATATGAATCAAAATAAAATTTGTTCCACATTTTACTGTAGACCTCCAGCATCAAAATCCATTCATTATTTTGGAGATAAAACACACTGAAAACTATGACTAACCCATTATGTATTCATTTTATGTACTTTGCTCAAAGAACACATGAAGTGTAGCAAACCACAAAAGATTTGAGAAATGTAGTATTATGAGCAGAATTATTCATAAAAATGATACTTACATTCCTTGCAGTCTGCAAACTGCCACATCGAAGAGCTCCAGTTCAGGGAACCAGCGTACATTCAGTGCTATGCAGTATGTATCTCGCTTGCCATTCAGAGCAACAGCTTCAAAGACTATAGTACTACTACAGTGTACATTATGCCAAGAGACAGAGGATGAGTACAGCCACATGATCAGTATGCTTCTGGAAAATGACATCACACTTCATATCCTTCAGCCCCATGCCCTGAAACTACACTCTGGACAGGGCAAGGCCAGCAAGGTGTATGGTGTGGACCTCAACGGAGCATTTAGTGGGCGTAATCTGAAGAATCTCATGCCAAGCTTCCCACTTCTGAGACAAGTAATGTAACATTATAGAATATGTAATTATTTGGGATATGAGAGATGGAAACTTATTTCAAATGTTAATTTTCCCGTCTTATACATTTGAGGGACACTTTGAAATAATGATTTTACTGATTAGACATGCTCTAAGGTGAAAAAATCTGGAAAGTACAGTGTGATAGTATAAGAACAACAATAGTTATGGAACTATCATATCCAAGCTTAGTTCCACATTTGATTTCCATCAAAATGGCAAACTGACAAAAATGCCCTGCTTTGTCAAATTATTTTCATGTGATTATATTTAACCATGTATATGAAAAATGTAGTTGATGCTCTTACATATAAAGTAGAAATTCTAATGGACCAAAATGAAATTAAGCTTTCAATTTTCATCACACATCTTACACATTCAGTTTTATCAATCTGTCAGATGGTTTTTAAGACTGAAACAAGCAGATAGACAGATGTGAATGCTTTCACATGTAATATACCAATTAACAAAAAGAATCAAATGCAGGAGCAAAATGTTATACTGATAAATACCATAGGAAGAAGCTGTACTGCCTGGTTATCTCTCATCTCTGGTTCTATGAGGCATTCGTGTACATGGTAATGCCATGCAAGTGTGACATATGATAAGTGTAAAGCACTGATAATCCTGTTCAGTTTGAAAATAACTTCCTAATGATGCTTGCATTCTTAATGTGTCTCAGCCATTTATTGTGATACATTGTTGTTAAATATGCTTAAAAAATACAACCAAATAAATAACTTTCAGTCATCCCATATGACATGTGGCAAATATTTGATTTGTTAAAAGTATAGTACAGTACTTCCACTTCTGTGTCACTGTTTCTAGAACTTCAGCTGACCTGCTACTTCTTTACTTAGCTTCCAGAGCTAGAGAAATCATAAATGGATAGCAGTAGTTATTTCTTTAAAATAAATTGCAATAAGTTATCACATCATTCTGTTTGTACTCAATGAAAATTATCTTAAATCAGTGTTTATCACAAATACCTTTTAAATGTGTGTTCCTGCTAATATATTAACAAGCAGAAATATTTAAAGGGATGTCATAACATGACACACACACTGTCTCTGAAATTCATACATTCATGTAAAATGTAAATGAATAAAATCTACATCTGTCAACTGATTTTGAGCTATTAATTCATTACATTATTGTACTGTGTGTCATACAGTTTGGTTAGGGATGAAAAAGCCCTAAAGTAACAATTATTTTGTTTTACAGGTTGTACTTCCAAAAGATTTGTGTGTTCCCCTAGCATTTGAGACAAATGGTACATTCTTCAACATGGATCATCTCTTACACAAAGGCAAGGGAGCACATAGACTTCATATCAAGAAATTCATTGATGTGTGGGCCAGACGAGTCACATTGACTGCCACACCTTCTCAGTGCCAGACATGTAGATGCATTGCAAACCAAGATGGAATGGGACAAATTATGTGCTCCAAGTGTGTATCACCATCTATTGAACACTTCTTAAAGGTAAAATAACACATCACTGATCTTAATATTCTCCATTCTGTTACCTGTGAAGTACACACAACTAAACTGGCAGTATAGCATCTAGTTTTTTGTTATTGCATAATTGAGTAATAAGAGTGCTGAGTACTCTGCTAGATTATGCATATTTTCCAAATATGTTCTTAGCTATTTTAAATACATTACTGGCTTTAATATCAGTTTATTGTATATACAAATGGACTGTTACAACATTAATCTCACAACAGATACCACGTGCTGGAAATATATTTCCTTATAACTAATTAAAAATTCACAATATTAAAAAAACGTTCCTAAGTAAAAGTTGTACAATTTAATAAGGTGTACATTTAAATCACCAATTTTCTGCACATGAGCCACTTCTGAGAAATCTGATAAGGTCCAATTTGGCTTTGTGTAAAGTATAACTGAGTGATTTGCAGTAAAATTAAATTTGCTGAACAATTATCAGTGTGGATCTCCGAATACCAAATCTTAACACTTTGCGGACCGGTGATTTAAATATTTAAATCACCCTGGGGACCGGCATTTTTAAACATACTAACCCTAACTTGTGCACTGTTCACTTTAAAAATTAATATAAAATCTCGTAATTAATTTTTTGAACTAAAATTTTGGAGAACACTTACCAATGCTCCTAGAAGTGCTTGAGGGTGTGATATTTCTGGAAACTTTCCCCTTTGTGAAGTGGCATTACACAGAACTTGCAAATGTAGACATACTCCTTTTTTTTTGTGAACTGTGCAAACACGGCATTGCCTAGAAGTAGTCTTCCCCTTGGAATGTTCACTCTTCACAATTTTCACGATGGTATTTTTCCGCATATCACTCGAGTGGCCCTGGGGGGTCCACATGAGGCTTCCGTGGGGTGGGAGTTGATGGGCCCGGTCGTACTAAGTCTTTGTGTCACCCTGGTTCTTCTGCCACCATCTGGACTGTAGCCCAGGCCTTTGCCACATTCATCAGAAATGCTTTGTATTTCAATTTTGAATCGGTTTAGATTTTTTTTTTTTAGATTTTTTGCTGTCCCCGCAATGTTACTACGCGCAATTTTATTACCCGCATTATCGTCGGAGCTACTGTCACTTTTACTGTCTGTGGCCACAATTCGCTGTTGTCCCCCGTCACTGTCGCTGTCTGAATGACAATCCATTACTACGCGTCTCACAAGGCAGGTCAGCTAGGTCATCGGAGGAGAATTTGTCCATCATCCATTCTCTCCACTAGCTACTGGCTGATACACACAGCTTGAAGAAGGCAAAGCATTTTCCTTTATAGTCGGTTAAGTAAACAGCGAGGTCAAGTTACTGACTGCTAACTAAACATTCCAGAGTCTTTATCACGCATCTGCAGGTGCTTGCGTGCAATGTAGGTGGCACCAGAGCGATGTATAGTGTGTTGCAACTTATCGTGTTCTAAAAGCCCGTTTAACACGCGAAGGGTCCGCCATGTTTAAAAGTGAAAAACCTTTTAAAGGGTGCGCGGTCCGCAAAGTGTTAATAAAATTTGGCACAACATTTGAGGATGAAACACGCAGGCAGACATCCATAATCATTCCATTACATATTCATATTATGCACTTTGTACAAAGAAAACAAAACACCCTTATGCATTTTTACTCTTCACCAGCTCTTTACAGAAGCATATGTGTGCATTTTAAAAATTAAATATTAAAACCAAACTGTTTATTATTGTTCTGCCCATAATCTTGTATTTTATTTCATTTAACACTGAAGAACATAACATAGGGACCATAAGTTTACCTGCTATTTTATTCATGTGTGATACTTTGATACTTGTCACTTTGACAACAGAGTGTTGTGGAGAACAGATGGAAACAGAAGAGGTATGGATGGGAGAAAAATCACAGAAGAGTAAGGATACAAAACACATCTGGAAACAGGAAATGCATACACAGTTGTTGGTCAGAATATCAGTGTTGAAGAAACCTTAACATAGATTCAAGGATATTGCAGTATATCTTAGGATATAGTCTGCTTAAATTTTTGGTTATGTCTTTTCCAAGGTCCTTCTTGGTCTCAGAGTCCTTTTGGTTCATACTGTAGAGCCTGTATGGTAATTTCTTCAGTAACTCTATCCAGATGGTTCATTCGCCCTGTCTGTCTTCTTGTTATATTCTGTGTTGATGGTATTTTCAGTTCTTTTCTAATATCTTAATTCCTAATAACATCTAGTCTAATGCAGTCTATATATAACTGATCTTAAATACCTTATCTCTACTGACTGTTTTTTATTTACATGTCTTTCTTTAATTCTCCAAGAGTCACTGTCATATAGGAAACTGAGCAGTGCTGCCATTTTATAAAATTTCAGTTGTGTTTCTATTCTTGTTAGTCTTTCAACCTTCTTCCACCTTATTGAATTAATGTAAATATTTGTCTAATATACATATGTTGCATCAGTTTCTAAATAAATTAAAAGGCAGCTTGCTGCATGCTAGTTTGTTGCTTGGCTTACTTTTCAACTAAAAAGATGGGGCAGTATGTTCCTTTGAAATGTTGATTAACTTTTACTGGACTACATGGCATTATATCTCAGAAGACAAAACCTCAAATTGTACATTTTTATCATCATGATATCTGACCATTATGACAGGTACCCATGTGGGATTTTACATATACTTGAAGTGTGTGCCACAGTCTGCAATGTTGCAATGTAACTTTGTATTTATATTCATGTGACAAACTTCTATCCTGTAAGCTAATCATTATTTACAGAACTGGGGAAACCTGAGCATTGGCAATCAAAGAACAAAGGTCAGAGTGGCTGATTACGTGGAATATCCTGCATGAAGAAGCTTGTCATCTCAATATAACTAATTACTGAAAGCATTCGTAACATAAACCTTTAATTTTAAGACATTATTTAAGCCAATTTATATAAATGCCACATGCCTGATTTTAAATGCAACCATTTTTAATAAAGAAACATTTTTTAAAATGTCATATTAGTGAAACATACAGGTTAGACTAATAGGTGAGTTGACTCCAATTTTTTTAGTTTACAATTAGGAGAATATTAGTTTCTATTTATTTTTGTTTCAAGTGTGGATATATATACGTCATAATCATGAGACGTGTATGTATACACGGCAAGAGTGCCACCTCACTAGTTGGTAGCTGAAGTGAATGGTGGTTATTAGTGTGTCTCCCACTTCTTTTGAAGTTATTTCACCGTGCTCCTCTTGCAGGAAGCTTCAAATATTTCAGTGATTCTTATTGTCTACGTATTATACCGCAGACAGTAAAAGAAGATAAAATTTAACTGAGTTAACTATGTATTCAATAAATTAACAAACATGATTTTACTTATTTCTGAACTAGTTAGCACATATGATTTACTGGAAATATGTAATTTTTTCCAAATGTGTCAACAAAGGAATGAATGTTCATTATATCATTACATCTCGTACTTTCTCAGATATATATATGCATATTATATTAATTTGTATATATAATATGTTACTGTAAATAAATATTAATCACTATATTCAGTAAGTAGAAACAAATTTTACATATTGAGGAAAACTATACTGTGAGCAATGAAATCTGTTCAAGAAGATCCCACCTATAGTATCTTCCTGTATATCACAATCACACTTTTCCTACAGTCATCCATATTTCCTGCCCCCTCCCCTTTCCTCACCCTTTACCTGCCACCAGGGCCCTTGAGAAATTTTGAAAACTTTTTGCTGTATTTGAGTGTCTTCATAAATGAATGGATAAGGAATTGCCATTTGTGATTATTATACTTGCCATTCTACTCCTAAGTCACCTAAAACCAATTCACTTTACCTTGACATGTCCAAGATCCATTTCAATAACCTTGTACGTGACAGAAGAACCTTACTTTTTACCTGCTGCAATTACAAGATACGTTGAGCTCTTGCTTATGGGATTAGAGGGAGGTAAGCAGTAGCTATAGGGATGCTGTGCTGATGTACTGCTCTGTTCTACTGCCCAAAAAGAAACGCCCAATATCTACAGTAAATATTTTAACAGTACTGAGAAAAGGAGCTCTGGGTAATGTTTCCAATCAGGTGGACACCTGCCATATCATACCATACAAAGATTCTTTTTACATGAAGAAACGGGTAATGTAGAACTCAAGAAAAGTGATGTAGACATTAGTTGGGTGACTTTTTTTAGGTGCAGGAAATGCTTTTATGGAGAAAACGTGTGTAATAATTTGTCCCATGATTGCATAAAGTGATTTATTAAATTTTGTTTAATGTATTTTTAATTATGCTGAACACTTAGAGCAAATGAGTTTTTAAAATTTATACATTTTATTAGCACTAACACAGTAGGCACTGTATGTTGTCTTAAATTTATTCTAAACACAACTAAACATGTGGCAACTGTAATACACCTGAAAATCAACATCAAGTTATCAATATGAGAATACTTCAAAAGTCAGTCAATGACAGAAGCAGCTCTGGAAACTGGTATACCATCTAAAGCACAGACTATCCCTTAAGAATACACTAATATCCTTGGTTGTGCTTCTCCAGAGACACTTGAAAGATGTAATTGCATGTTAGACAATGCAAAATTATGAATTATACTTTAGAAATAGGATCCACTTGATATGAACTGATGGATCAAAAGTGTCTATGGCAGTAGAAAAACTGACAATTCAATGATTCTGCAGTAAATTTTCCTATATAACAGTGAATTTTCTATGTTTTTATACTCTACTACTGAACAAAAAACATTAAACTTGAGTAAAAATGGTACTTGCATGGGATGATTAGCTATTTTTTTTTCACATTACATACTGTAAAAGGAATTAGCAAGTTACTTTTGCATTCTCTGTGGGAAGAAAGAAGTCTCTCGTCTCTTAATCTTCTGATATTTCAAAATATTATAATTAATTCTTTTTTCTGTTAATTCTTGAAGATGTTCAATTAAAGCAACAAGCTTCTTGGGATCCATTAAGAAGTGAATCCAAAGCAATCGCTGTTCTTGCAGGAATGGCTTCTCTGAAAAGTATACCTGAAAGAAAATTCACTACTATTCATTTCATTCTTAGTTTAGTTTCAGCAGTAGCCACCTGCAATTTGATGCAGTAAGCAACAAAAATTAAATCAGCTCTTATTTTTCACCCTGGAATGTAAAGATACACAGTAGTGCATTAATACCTAACCAAAATATGCATCTTTAAGTGGGACATCAAACTTCCCTTTTGGTAGATTCTGGGCTTGAACCCAGGACAGTCACAAAAACAGTGAAAAGGATGAACAAATCCAGCTGAGAACTGGATTGACAAGTACAGTAAATGTTCATAGGTACTTTCAATATTCGAGTCTGAAAGAGTTGCATTATCGTGGAAATGTAGCCTTGTTTTCAGTTAGAAAGAACTTACAAATATTGTGGCATGCCCCCTTGAAGCTAGGACTGTGGAGCTAGAAGAGATGGCCATTGCTAGAGATCAGCTCAGTAAATATGTTTCCATAGCAACCAATTCACATGACACAAATGGAACAATAGAAAAACTGTTTGAGGCAGTGTTTTCTGTAGTCCATGCCAAGGCTCTATACTGGGGACCGAGCTAGAACCTAGTGTCTAGTCACTACTGGCTACCACTTGCTGTCACAGGCCAGCACTCACTTCTGACTCAAAACTGTCATATTCACTCCCCAGTATACAGCCTCAATTATGGACCGCATAAAAAACATCACCTTCAACAGTTCTTCTATTCTTGCATGTGTATCTGTTGCTGGGGTCACATGAATTGGTTGCTGTGGAAATGTTATTACTGAGCCGTTCCCTAGCAACAGACATCTCCTCTGCCACCGTAGTTCTGGCTTCACAATATGATCAGCAAAGAAACACGTGATATGCTAAGAACCTTATACTTCAGCCACAAAAAGATTCAGAGTTTCTTTACACACTTTCTAGTACAAATGTATCTGACCTGTTTTCTCTTATAATTATCTTTGATTTGTTTCAGCACTTCTTGAAATGATTCCAGCAGCTGTTCAATGTTACTGCAACAAGTGGAAATCTCCATTTTGAGGAGTACAGGTCTTTTTGTAAGTCCAGAACAAAGATATTTCTTTGCAGTTTTAATGGAATTCTCACTGAAATAAAAATACAAGTCCAATAAAGACAGTATAAAAGAAAAGAAAACAGAACTTCTCTGTCACAATTCAAAATTAAATGTTATATCCTGCCTGGCTCAACATGCTGCAGCCATTCTGGGAATTAAATTGTCGGACCTTGTATAATAAAGTCCGTATAGGTAAACTTTGTCTGATAATTTCACTATCCAAAATGGTCTAAAACAAGGAGACGCTCTATCACCACTCCTTTTCTACTTTGCTTCAGAATATGCCATTTGGAAAGTCCAGGAAAGCCAAGTGGGACTGAAATTAAGTGGGGTAGATCAGGTGCTGGTCTATGCTGATGATGTGAATCTACTGGGAGATAACATAGATGTCATAAAGAAAAACACACAAACTGTAATTGACACTAGTATGGAGGTTGGACTAGAAGCAAACACAGAGAAAACTAAGTACCATATTTACGCATGTATAGGCCGCGTGCGTGTATAGGCCGCAGCACAATTTTCAGACAGAAATTATAGAAAAAATAATTTTCTTGGAGTATTATTTCAGGAGTATTACACCCTGTATTACTAATTATGAATATAATTTATGTGCGGCCTATACATGCGTAAATACGGTATATGTTGTTGTATCTTCACCAGAATGCAGGTCAAAATCATGATATAAGGTTAGCTAACAGATCCTTTGAAAATGTGGCACAGTTCAAATATTTGGGAATGACAGTAACAAATCAAAATTTGATATAGGAAGAAAGAGAATATTGAATTTTGGTAGTGCTTGCTAACCATTCAGGCCAGAACCTTTTTTTTTTCTATCGTCTGCTGTCTAAAAATGTAAAATTTAGAATATACAAAACTATAATTTTGCCTGTGGTTCTGTATGGTTGTAAAACTTTGTCTCTGACATTAAGATAGGAACACAGACTGACGGTGTTTGAGAACAGGGTGCTGAGAATATTTGGACCAAACAGATATGAAGTAACAGGAGGCTGGACAAAACTGCATAATGAGGAGCTTCATAACTTGTACTTTTTGCTAAGTATAATTAGAATGAGCAAGTAGAGAAGGATGAGATGGGTAGGGCATGTAGCCCAAATGGGGGAAAAGATGAATGCATATAAGATATTGGTGGGAAAGCCAAAAGGAAAGAGACCACAAGGAAGACTAATATGTAGGTGGGTGGATAATATTAAAACGGATCTTAGATAGGATGTTATGTGGACTGGATTGATCTGGCTCAGGATGGGGACTAGTGGAGGGCTCTTGTGAACACAGTAATGAACCTTCAGGTTCCATAAAATGTTGGAAAGTTCCTGAATAGCTGCACAACTGGCAGCTTCTCAAGAAGGGCTCAGCTCCCTGAAGTTAGTTAGTTAGTTAGTTAGTTAGCAGTAAAAGTATTATTCAGCTGATCTCTGCATAATATAATTAATAGCTTGCATTTTTTGTGGCAATCTGCAACTTATATGTCAGAAATCTGGCTTTGTGACACAGCCTTACAAGGTATATAAAAGAAATTATTCACTTACTACTGAGAAACACTCTTCTGCTTGTTAAATAAAGAATTGAACAACTTTTCCTCTTGGTTTATTATATCTTTGTTCAGATTCTCAACATGACGCATCAACCCATGAATACCTGTCTTTGCAGAATGTTCATCAGAGAATAAATGACCCAAGCACTGAACAAGAGGATTTTCCATTATTAATGAATAACTACATCCATCTTTTCTCAATTCCTGCATTGTTTTCTGAAACAAGGTAATAAATTAATTAAAGGTTATTTTCCAAAATTTATAAATATCTTTCAAATATATGTAAACCAAAAACTTTCAGGCATTTATCTGCCTGTGAAGCTACATAATTTTCTTGTTTACTGATGTGTTAAGAAACAATACTGGATTCATCTTATATAGTGGCACTCTCCTATTTTAAATTTTAAATACTGACTGTGACTGTAGAAGAGTGAAAACAATTTATGAAGTCAGAAGAACTCTGATATGATATCCTCAATCCAGCTCAAATGTTGTAAGATTCCAAATTTATATTTCCATTTAGGCATACTGAAACTTAATTTAAAGGGAAAAACTTCATGGTTTATATGCTACATTTTTGTCTGCAAGCTATTATATAAACATGAGTAGTAATCAATAATCTCCACATTTACATAAATCTGTTTCTTAATATGCACTGGCAAGATGGAAACAATGGTTACTCTTACCATGCGTGATGTGAATTGCAAATATTCCTCATTTATTACTTGGTGGCACTGTTGATATAGATCTGCCATGTCAACTATCTTTTGCCTCTCACAAACCAATAGTAACAGAAGCAGTTCACTGTCTGTAAGTCCAGCTTCTAAGCATCTGGCCAAAGAATTATTTTGTTTGAAAATTCTCTCCAGTTTGCAAAGTTTATGGTCATTCCTGTACTTCTTTATTTGTAAAACATCCATTTCAACAGCTTGTTCTACTGCTGGCAACACTTCATTTTCACACATAAGAGAGATTTGTTCCTTGTCTCCATTCACCTTCTCCTCAAGTAGTAGAGACTGACTTCTGAAAAAAGCAAATAATGGAAATCAGTAACAATCCACACAAATTTAATTAATTAACTCAATGAGGTGAGTCCATTTTGAGAAGCCACCAAGCTGCTCAGCTACTCAAGAATTTCCCTACTTTTACGGAACCCAAAAGTTTATTGCCATGTTCACAAAAGCCCTCCACTGGTCCCTACCCTGAGCTAAACTAATCCAGTCCATACCACCCCATCGTATTTCTCTAAGATCCATCTGAATTGTATCCTCCAACCTACATCTGGGTCTTCCTAGTTGTCTCTTTCCTTCCAGCATTCACACTAAAACCCTATATACATACATGCATCTTCTCCGTACATGCTACATGCTACCGCCTTCATATACCTTCAACACATTTATCATCCTATCAGAGAGGGGTGTATTATTCAGGCGTCAAGCTATTTAACACTCTGCCATCAAATATCACAGTTTTAAAAAATGATAAAAAGTAATTTAGGTTTGTTTTATGAAATTATTTGCAAAGTAACGCATTTTACTCTATTCATGAATTTGTCGCGCATGCAAGGGGCTCAAAAGTTAAAGAGATAATAAATGGTCTGTGTGTGTGAATTATACATTGTTGAGACTTGCTTGTTGTAAGTGTAGTAGTATGTATGATGTCTGTTTCTGTTATGAATTTTAATATTTCATAATGGATCCGTTTGGATCATATGGCTTGCAAGTGTGTGTGGAATGGCAAGGTGTGAATTTGACAGTGGTTTTTCCATGACCTATGTGTTGTCCTGACCAAGGACAAATGATGTGTAGTCATCATGTACTTGTAATATGTGACATGTTTTATATCCAGCCTTATGGGGAGATGATTGGATCCTTAAAGTGAAAAATAAATGTAAATGTAATGACCTTACTATCAAATTTTGCAACATACAATTATGTCCTCTCCATTTAGGTAAAGTTTTCCCTGGACTAAATTATTTAAGCACCATGCCATGAAGATGTATGAGGGAGTGGAGGTATAGCTGCACCATTCTTGACCTCAACACTAGATGGAATTGAGCGGTCAGTTTCATGCCCCTGCCACTTTACACCTGCATGGGAAGAGCTCCTAGTACCCATTGTATAATATGTTGTGCATTCAAGTTCCAAGGTCTGATTTCTTTTCTCACACAGTAATCCTAAAAAAAATTTGAAACTTCTGTCACTTTTCAACGTAATCTCCCTGCAGCCGTACACATTTTTCACAGCGTCGAAGCCATGATTCCATGGCCGCTGCGAATGCTTCTGTAGGAGTCTGTTTTGACCACTGGAAAATCGCTGATGCAATAGCAGCATGACTGGTGAATGTGCGACCACAGAGAGTGTCTTTCATCGTTGGGAAAAGCCAAAAATCGCTAGGAGCCAGGTCAGGTGAGTAGGGAGCATAAGAAACCACTTCAAGGTTGTTTTCAAGAAGAAACTGCTGCGTCGCGTACGCCCGATGTGCTGGTGTATTGTCCTGGTGAAAGAGCACATGTGTAGCCTTTTCCGGCCGCTTTTCTCGCAGTGCCGGAAGGAGTTTGTTCTTCAAAACATCTTGGTAGGATGCACCTGTCACTGTAGTGCCCTTTGGAACGCAGTGAGTAAGGATTACGCCATCGCTGTCTCAAAACATGGCCACCATCATTTTTTTCAGCACTGGCGCTTACCCGAAATAATTGTGGTGGCGGTGAGTGTGTGCGCTTCGTTTCAGGATTGAAAAACGGCATCCATGTCTCATCCATTGTCACAATTGATGAAAAGAAAGTCCCATTCATGCCTTCATCACGTGTCAACATCACCTGGCAAATTGCCATGCGCTCACCTTCTTTTTGGTCGTCCGCCAGCATTCGTGGCACCCGCCTGGAGGACACTTTCCGCACTCGCGGGTCTTCATGCAGGACTGTGTGCACAGACCCCACAGAAATGCCAACTTTGGAGGCGATGTTTTCCACACTCAATTGGCGATCCTCCAAAACAACTTTCTCAACTCGTTCAACCATGTTATCAGACCGGCTGGTGCAAGGCCGAGATTGTTTTAGTTCACTGTCACACGACGTTCGGCCTTCTTTGAACCTGTCGCACCCACGAACACACATTTTTCACATTCATGACACCATCACCACATGTCTCACTCAACTGGCAATGAATTTCAATGGACCACACAAGTGGAGAAAACGAATGATTACTTGCTGTTCTTGTAACAAAACGTTGCCATTTTAGGTATCAAAAACACTTCTCACTCTCGCCGCCACCACTAGAGTTCTATGTGCCGTACAGTGCTGCCATCTCTGTCACAAAGAGTGCACACGTATTTTAAACTAAACCGCATGTGTCTATCTGCTCCCAGTCCTGAGAAAGAAATCGGAGACCTTAGAACTTGAACACCCCTCGTAGTGTGGGTATACCCCAGAGAAAAATGTCTTGCATCTGTCATGAATCAAAACCTTATCCCTTGGTCATCCAGCTCATTCTTTTCAAAACACAGATCATTCTGCCTGCTGATATATAATCATTGACATCTCTAGAATTTTAAAGCAAATATAAAACCAGTTTCTATGTGTGTAAAAAAATAGGATCCAGTTTTTTGCAACATAATATTGAAATGGAAATAAAACACCAATCCTGAATAAAAAGCTTAATGAAATGGCTGCATAGGTTGTATTCTTTCAACCGTGGATGGTCAAGGAGAATGTTTAAAACACAACACTTATCAAAATATCTCTGAGCAAGGCTAAAGCAATACGTGGTACAGTAACTTATATACCTTATCTCATTGAATGAAAAAGGGAATTTTGATGTTTGTATATCATTCATGATATCTTTTAATTTTCCAATGGACGCTTTCTTTCCTTGATAACTTGCCAACATATACAGATACTCCATCTTCATTTCAACGAAGCTGTAAAATAAACATGTATTTTATTAGTTTAAGTTTACGAAGATTGTACTCGTATTAAGGACACAACACAACTCAAGAAACTGTAACACAGGGAATCATTTGGATATCAAAATCATACTACAATAAAAACCTGTCCACTATAGAACCTGGACTCAACAGAAATCTGCCTGTCACAAAATTTCTCCACTCCAGAGAATATACAATGGAAATCAATTTAAAATTACCTACAATAACTGGAAACAAAGTACAAGAATTTAACAGAACACATGAATATTTATTCTTTTCTCTTCATATAGCTTTGTTCTGCACTAGTACCTCTTTGAATGTATCTGGGAAGGGACATTTGTGTCATGAATGGGAAAAGATTATATTCAGCTGTCAAAAAATGTGAAAACTTTAGAACTCTAGAAAAAAATAAAAGTATAATGCGATAATGTTTATTGTATGAATTTCTGACATGTAATATGAGTCATAAGTGCCTGAAGAATGTGCTGTGGGGACATCCCACATAGCACGCTGTTTCCACCGGTCTCTTAAACACTCACTCCTTCGTGAATATCGCATTGCCGGACATCTCGTTCATATTTATACCACCATGCACTGCAAATTTCTGCTCCTCATTTTCGCTAGCCAATCAGTGCTCTGCAAATAGTTGCTCCTCAATTGCAAGTTTCGCTTCGCCCACCGAGCATTGTATAAAATGCAGAGCACAACGCTTGCAAGTCAGTCAGTTCTCAGTCAGTTCATCACCAGTCTTCAAGCAGTCCACAAGCAATCAGCACACTTCGTCACCAGCGCTCGGTCTTCGGAGGCACCGGCGCTCCGCTGCGCCAGGCATGACTACCACGGCTGTCCGGCGGTCGCACCCGACTCACTGGGCAACTAGGCCGCCTCGATTCGCCGGTAGTCATGTCCGACACACTGGGCAACTGGCGTAGCTACCGCCTCTCCGCTCCAGCGACCATGCTCGATGGCCAGACTTGCACCAGCAGTTGCCGCGCTGCGATCAAGCAACGGCTGCACTACGGCCAGTCCACACACCGCAACCAACATCCCTTCCTACTGGCGCACACTGCGCTACTTCACCAGCCAAGCATCTCAGCAACCATGGTCCTTTTCAGGACCTACAAACTGTTCCGAAGAAGTGGGTTGTCATAGAAGTAACGACACAGGTGAAAACCCCACAGTACAATTCAATATTTTCTTCAGCTGGATGTACTTGCAGCCATTACATCAACCTGCTCAGTCCCCACAACTGACTGTATGATGCATTTACCTTTGTTCCAGTTCCTCCAGATGGTCATCTTCATATTCTCCAGCTGAAGATTCATTCTGAAAACAAATTGAAACTCTCCTTTCATATTAGCATAAATACATATGTGTCCTATATATGTAAAAAAAAGTTCTGTAAAGGTGAGTGAAAGTTCCATAATTATATAATTTCAGCTTACCATAGCAACAAATTGTGGGCATTAACATGCTGCATGAATATAAATTATGTAGTAGGTCATGAATGAGTGACCCGTCTTTTGTTTCAATGTGTTGTCAGTTCTGTGGTGTATATATCTGAAATGCAGTTAGTATTTATCATGGAATATGACTTAATTTATGAGGATTTAAGTTTCTTTTCCTTGCAAAATATGTACACAGAAGAAGTACATTAGACCAATTCAGCAATATTGTCAAGAGCTGTAATATGAAACAAACAGGATAACCCAAGTGGACACTTGACAGGCCTGTATGTGTAAAATGACAGCCATTTGTACCTATATAACTACTTGAATTCACATATCCATGAATAGCATAAGGCATAAGTTGTTTAAGTAATTTCTATATGTATATGCCTCCTGTTAATTGTAGGCATATTCAGCAACAAAATGATATTGTTTATGAAGTATACATATGACTGATGCCATTAGTCACCTCAATAGTACATCCTACTGGAAATAAACAGGAATATATTACATATGACTTGAAACTTCAATGGGAAACGTAGCTTCACAAGTGGCCTATACAAAATGTGTTGTACATTTATTTTAATTTATACATTGAGACTGATAAGAACGTCTTCATTGGTGGTATTATTATTATTTCTTGAGAACATTTTTTATTAATGCAACGTGTAGAATCAATTATAGACATACACTTCCCTAGCATTTCTTTAATTAGTGTTGCAATGGCCATAAGATGTTTTTGAACAGCAATGACATTTTAATCTAAATATGCACCTATCACTTGTTATGGGTCTGAGAGAATTTCTAAAATGTTGTCTTATATAGTTCAGAAGATTTTCCTTTACATGGTATTTATGTTTACATCCCCCATGGATACCCTGGGGATGTTAGTGACATAGCTAAAAATGAAGAGCAGTCTGTATTATGTTAAAACCAAACTGCAACATTTGGGGGGGCGGGGGTGACAGTTCTACTGATCCGTGCAGGGTGCAATCTCAAATAATACTACCACCACCTGTGAGATTTTATTATAAATTAAATCATACAGCAACAGAATCATTCATACCCATTCTAAACATTGCTTCATCATCATCTTTATGGAATGACTGAACTGAAAACATCTTTTCCTGTATGCTTCTAAGGGCAGTTGGCCTACCAGTTGAGGAGCAGATTTCTGAAATAAACTCCATAAATATTAATGAAAAGTCACTCAAATACCTTGTCATCTGGTGAGGTAGTACTCAAAATTCTGGACCATTTGAATGCATGAAGTACTGTATTCAGCCAGTTAATATCCATATGTATTTTATGGTTGTAAATTTACACTTTTTGTTTTCCTGCATACAATGACATGTATTTGAGTTCCAATTTATTCACTGTTACACTTATATCAATAATCTCTGGATGTGGCACAGATGATATGCATGTACCTCAGGCTAACAATCTCTCTCTTACAACCAAAATATTTAACAATATTGACACAATTAATCACCACAGGATGCAACCCTGATCCAATTCAACCCACCCTACCTGTTTCTTCAAAACCTGTTTTAATATTATAATTCCATTCTCATCTCAATCACCCAGTGGTCTCTTTCCAAGAAGTTTCCCCAACAAAATTCTGTTCTTGTTTCTCCAATCCAAATTATATCCACACAGTTATAACCTCCTTCATGAAACTATCCTAACAATCATAAGGGACGATGCAATGGAATGGGTCAACAGACATTACTGGCTAAGTAAAACACATTTTAATTTGTGATGATGGTACATTAATACAGTTATGGTGTTTTTGAACATTAGCCATCATCCTTATTTTATTACAAAAAACATTTTGGACACTGGATTTTGTCTGTCTTCAGATAAAACCTACTCAATTAGGCCCAATAAATATACGTGGGGCAATCCAAAAGTTTCCTAAATTTGATTTTGTGTGAATGGTTATGAGTACAACGAAATACCGCTAGATGTCTCCTCACACATCCTTCATGAATCAGTGTGGCAAGCGGCGTCAAATTGAGTGGTTGGGTTTATTGTTGAACATATTTCCACTGTTGTGTTTCCGTGAGTTTGTGGTTTTGCAATGGCTGACCTGAGAGAGCAGCGTGTCTGTATAAAGTTTTGTTTCAAACTTGGGAAAAAAGCTGCAGAAACGCACCAAATATTGAAGTAAGCTTTTGGTGAAAACAGTTTAGGTCAGACACAAACTTACAACTGGTATAAGCGTTTTAAAAATGGCCGAATATTGACTGATGATGACAATTGTTCAGGGTGGCCGTCAACAGGCAAAACACAAGAAAATGTCGCGAAAGTTAGGGATCTGATTCTGCAAGATCGTAGACTGACCATCCAAGACCTCTGTAACACCTTGCGACTAAGTAATGGTACATGTCAACGAATTTTGTCAGAGGAACTGAACATGAGGAGGATTGCGGCGAAGTTTGTGCCATGACTGCTGCAAAATGAGCAGAAGCAGCATCGCTTGGAAGTCTGCAGGGAACTTCAGCAACAGCTTCAAGAGGATCAAAACTTTCTTTCGAAGGTTGTCACTGGTGACGAAAGTTGGGTTTATGGCTACGACCCTGAAAGCAAGCAGCAATCGTCGCAATGGAAGAGCCCTTCTCCACCTCGGCCAAAAAAATGCTCGACAAGTCAAGAGCAACATCGATCTGTTTTTTTGATATTGACGGGATTGTTCATAAGGAGTTCGTCCCTCCTGGTCAGACAGTCAATAAAGAGTTCTATCGCGATGTTCTAAGGTGTTTGAGGGGGAGCATGAGGAGAAAACGTCCAGAGAAGTGGTGCACGAACGACTGGGTACTCCACCATGACAACGTACGACCACATACAGCTTACATTGTGCAGGAATTTTGGGCTAAAAACAAGATAGCAGTTGTTCCCCACCCACCGTACTCGCCAGACTTAGCTCCATGCAACTTCTTTCTCTTCCCCAAGATGAAAATCAAGTTGAAGGGGTGAAGATTTGATACAGTTGAGGAAATTCAAGCGGAAACACAGACGGCACTAAACACCCTAACAAAGAAAGACTTCCAGGATGCATTTGAGAAGTGGCAGAAATGTTGGGATCGGTGTATGCGCTCCCAAGGGGACTACTTTGAAGGTGATGGTGCAGAATAAAATCTAGGTAAGATGTAATAGTTTTCATTAATATATTTTGGGAATTTTTAATTGCACCACAGCTAATCCCTGTCCTCAGACCTCTATCGATTGGGCCCAATTGAATAGGTTTTTACCTGATGACAGAGACAAAATGCTGCCTCTGAAACACTGTTTTAAATAAAAAGAGGGACAATGGATAATGTTAAAAACAATAACTGCAAGATATATTTTATTAATATTTCCCTTGCTTTCTGTCTATAAGAAGCATCAGGTCACACTGTCTATTATTGCATATATGATACTATGATCTGCATTCAGTCACTGAAATGCTGCCTTTGTAGAGCAAATATTGATGACTTTTCTCATTATCGGCTATGTTTGACTTCATAATAGTTCTATTTTCTATGCCACCAAGGTATAAAGGTTTATTAATTTGTATTACCATACAAATACTAAATGAGACTGAAAGAGATTACTCTCTTTGGAGGATATACCTGTAATATGCAATAAGCAAATATAAGAGACTGTACTAAATTGCAATGCTGGACAGGTAATAGATTAAATCATGATTTAAGTAAATACATGTTCCATCTTAACCCCCACCCCCACCCCACAAAGTTATCAAATCTATCAAGGTTTCTGAAATATCATTCTACTAGCATCAGTTTTCAAAGTCTTCACTGATGCCTACAGACAGCTTAATTTGTGCAAGAATCCTATATGAAATAACATAAATGAACGAAAACATATTACCACATTCTTAAAGTCAGTTGATAACTTTTTAAGACATTGCAGTCGTTTAAGCAACTCTTCCTGAGCTGAATAAACCCTTGAATGGAGTTCAATGCAGTGTTGTTCTTCAGCTAGCAGACTGTAATGAGCTGCATTCTCTTGCTGTTCTAGCTGACGCATACCAGAACGCACATGGAGAATTTCTTTGCTGCAATTCAGTATACATGCAGTGTAATATACTGTGGCATGTAGAACCACTGCTAGACAACGACTGTTAAACAAACAACTAAAAAACATCCGTTATTAGGCAACAGCCTGTAAACAGCAACAGAGTAATTAAGTTTTCTGTGCAGTCTGCGCTGAGATTCTATAAGCAGGACAGTTAGGGAGGAGTTCAGTCAATCAATTGTGCTGAGCAGTTGATGTGAGAAACTGGTAGCTGAGGCCAGGGATAGTCTGGGAATACAGAGGAAGGGGAATGTCTGTTATTGGAAGCTGCTACCAAGCAACAGCTAGTGAAGACGTGACTGTGGACACTAGTGTGTGTGGGTGTAATAGTGAATTGTAAAGCGTAGTCATGTGCTGTATCAAAGAGTCCAATAAATCCAATCATCAATCCAAAACAAGTCCATAGTCACTCTATCACATGACAACTGGTGTCAGAAGTGACCTACAAGATATTTAATATTTAAATCTCTTATAATTATAAAAGTATTATTTTAATTTACCATTTAATTTCAAAAGGAAAATATAACATTTCTGCTCATTAGACAAAAATTATTGCAGTAACCTTCCTAAATACGTGGGAATATGTAAACAATTCGATGGTCAACTGTTTATCTAAGATTTATCTCATACTTTGCCAAAAAAAACTTGTCAGAGGCAAGTGGGTAGCATTTCTATTTCATATTTAGGAGATCCCAAGTAAAAATCTTGGCCCAGAGACTGGCTATTCTGACTTGAGGTTTTCCATGGTTCATCTCAGTCCCTCCAGAATAGTACTTTAAATCAGTCCATACGTGCTTCTTTACACATCCTCTCCAATTCATTATTTGTTAATCATCCTACGGTTTGACAGTATACAGTCTGAACTACAGACAGCATTATTAAACATGAAATTCTGGGAGGAACTAACCACCAACTTTCCTTTGATACAAGAAGGGCTGCATGGACTGCATGCCTCCAAAGGAACTTGTTTGCAGAACCATTGCCTTGCAATGATAGGGGTACACAGATGATCCACAGACTCTCCTTTCATGACACAGACTGCACAGAAAATGATGTGCCCTACAATTCTTCTTTGTATCATGTACTCATTGCTGCAGGAATACGTTTACAAGATGTTGCCTAGCAACAGTAGGGGGGATACACATACAGACACACAGACTAATGGAGTTTTTAAGTATGCCATTGAGATGGGCTCAGGTGCCATGATACATAAAGATTCATAAAGATTGGGTCAGGCATTCAAAAGCTGATTGAGAGGAGGGATACAGAGAAACACAGAGAGGATGAAGATCACATAAGCCCAGTTTCATTTCTTCAAAATAATTAAATTAACCTAAAAAAAAAATACAATTTTCCTGGTCATGCCATAGCTCAAGCAGTTAGCTGCCAGCTTTCCACCATCAGGTTAGGTCATGTGGGATTTGTGGTGGACACAGTGGTACTGGGAGAGGTTTCCTCCAAGTACTTTGGTTTCCTCTGTCAATTTTCATTAATCATCTTATTGATATGATATAGTCCTGTTACTGACAGCACCGTTAAATAACCAAAGCAAAAGAATTAAATAAAATTATCCAAAAGACTTAGGATATTAGTTAGGATGACTGTAAACTGAGGCATAATAAAAATACATTCATGTAAGACAACTTACAATTCTGAAAATACATTGTTTTCACAAAGATAAATTCAAATTAAATTCTGATGTCCATAACATGAATGCTAGACAAAAATATAACTTCCACCTACCCTCATCAACTTTATCAGTATATCAAAAAGGAGTCTACTTTACTGGCATAAAAGTGTTCAACAATCTGCCACAAAGTATTAAAAACTTGGGCAATGATACTAAAAAGTTTAAATCAGAGTTAAAGAATTATCTACATGCTCATTCCTTCTACTCTTTAGATGAATACTTCAATGTAAATAGAGAATGATGTAAAATTAAGTTATATTAATTTTTAAGCTAAAATTGCCTGTACTTATGTATGTAACCTTTTGACTTGTTCTGTATCCAAAGGTACTAACCTACTTAGGATTTATAGAATGTAAATAAATTCAATTCAATTCAATTCAATTCAAAGTGACAACCACTAACAAAGACTTCTGTGAGCAGTTTATAGATATTTACTGTCACAAAAGCATATCATGACTCTAAGAAAAACTATCACTAAAATTTCTTACGAATCAACAGAAATATTTGCATTGATGCCACCCAGCATAAAATGAAATTGATAGGCTTATATGCATATATCAGTGATTGAGTTCTATAAGTATGAATCACCATACAGCTTTTCCAATAGCAAAACAACATGAAGCCAAAAGAAAAAACTATGATCTCTTGGGTTACGTCCAAGAAGTTACTTAAGTAAATCGACTGCTGAGTGCTGACATAGCAAAACAACATGAAGCCAAAAAAAAAACAAAACAAAAAACTATGATCTCTTGGTTTACGTCCAAGAAGTTACTTAAGTAAATTGACTGCTGAGTATTGACATAAACGCATATCTTTATAATATCACTTAACAAATACACTCTGAAGGGTAATGCTTAAGAAGTAGATGCCATTAAAAATTTTGCCAGAACTGTAAGTAAAGAGGGGGAAAGGAAAAGGAAATAAGGTAGAGAATGTAACAATGCTCTCCATAGTGATGAAGACAGAGTTTTATTAAAGGAAATCAAAGGGAAAGGCTTAGATTTTCAATCTGCTTATTACTTCAAGGTCTCCTGAAGATCAGTAACTATTCTGATATGCGAGTCAGCCATCTCTAGTTCTTCAGTGATAAAACAGTTATTGTCATCTTCAGTTTCTTGAAGACTGTCAGTGAAAAATTCAATGGATGCATCAAGTTCTTTTCCATGAAGAACTTCACCAGCCTCAATCATAGCATCATACCTGCATGATGTAATTAATAAAAATCATAAATCCAGTCTTAATAAATGTGTACATACATACACACAAAGATGTGTTTGTGTGTGTCCACATTCACAAGTGAACACAAAGACATATATCTAAAAATAATGAAACACAACAAAACCATGGGTATCATAAATATGGTTTTGAAAGCAACAGTGGTGCAAAAACATACTTGAATAGGCATGTATAAAACCTCAGCACAGCCAGTCCTGTGTTATAGAAGTAAGATGTGGATAGCACAAGTTGTCAAGACAACACACACAGGCCGTGGAAAAACTACTGTCAAATTCACACTGTCATGTCTGTGTAGTTTACAGAGTATTTAAGTAGGGTATTGTAGCTGTAAACAAAATGTGAATTCTGTGTTACACTGGCAGATGACATCATGTGCAGTCATGCTTAAGCACCTTGAAAACACAGTGTCCTTTTCAAAAAGTTATTCTGAACTAACGGTGTGTACTAGTTCTAGTTCAAAGCAACAATAGCCCCATATACAAAATAAAAACTGAACTCAGCAACTCACAAACCTTAGAGCCTCGAGATAATCATGCACTTGTTAATTACTTACTCTAACAGTTCTGCAGGTGTTAGAAAATTCCTGGAATCTATATTACACAACTGTGCCATGAAGTCCCGTACATTGTCATCATCAGAAAATGAACTCTGTACTGACAGATTCTGCATTTCATTTGCCATCTCCTTCAATATGTGCATTAAATCTGGACCTGAAGAGTCCAACATCGTTGTGGTAGGTGATGCGTAATATAAATCAAACCAGTATCAACATCAAACCTTTCAAAATTACAGCAATTTATTTCCTTTTAAAGTCCTCTAGAACTATTATCCTTCACAAGAGAACCATGCACTGAAAATAAATACCACTTTAGTACAAATGAGTGTTTACTATCAAATACAATAGGTCATAATTATTTCATCCACCAAAACTCATAATGAACCCTGTTGCTCCTGTATTTACGTACTTTATATGAACAGCCAGTAGAATAAGCTTCGTACACCAAAATCTACATGTACGTAAATCTATACAACAGCCGTAACATCACACAAACTATATAACGACCAGCAGAACATATACTGCTGAAGCTGCTGAAGCCCTGCAACGGCGAAAAAAGTTCTGGGAATAAAGTTAAAATATGGCGCGCAAAGGTTACTTCCCAAAGGTTGGCAATGAACGACAAAAAATTATCACATGTTAACCAACATCAACAAACTTTAAAAGCTTTAAAATGTAAATAACTTCAGAATTATTTACTTGTGTAAACTTAAAATTTATACACTTTTTGACAATATAACTCCCATGTGAAATTATTTAATAATAAAATTTGCTCATCTGCAGATAATTATAATCATTGGTTCACTTCTTGATATTTATGTAGAGTAGTTAGTACAATTAACCGAAATTTGAAACTTGCAAGCTGCTTCACCCGACAAAGAAGTTCAGTGATAAAACGTAACCTAAATATGGCCAACGTTAAGAGACAAGGCTGTAAAATAGGCCAAACCATGACTCCTATATGAACCATAAGTAGCCTTACTAACTTCCACCCAGGTCATGCCAAGAAAATCCTCGTTTAAATATCGCGACAGCTATCGACAAGTTGGCCACATTGTTGTTGGTGTCTTGGCGTACGCTGTTAATTGATCCGTGTCGGGATCCATGGTGATGATCTATGGCATAGCCCCGTCGCCTGTGTAATGTGTGCACCGTGTGTGATGATGCGTGGTGCGAAGAGGAAGAATCTGAAAGTGCGAAGTAAAAGTGATGTTTGAAATGTACATTTTATAGTTACTTGGAAAGTGTCGAAAATAAGGATATTAATGACGTAGTCATGACAACTGGGTTGGCCGTTACTAAAAAGAGGTTCGACAAAGTAACTTATAAAGATACACAGTTTGAAACTGCAAGAATTATCAATTCGAACGCGGATAGTTATAAATGACAGTTACTCGAAATATTTACAAGGAATCGCCATGGGCTTGCATATCATAGTAAAACTTACAAAACAATGCAGTATATAGTACAAAATATAGATAGGTGTCATACTTTGTGTATTTTTCAACTGAAATATTTATGTTCATTTTTAATATATATATATTTCAGGACCCGCAAAGCCTTTCTTTCAACTAAGTGATAAAATGGATGGGTGGCAAATGTGCAGAAATATTAGATGTTACTGACGAAATGTTTTCATAATTTTTCAGCTGCCTAAATTTTTTACTCATGTAACTTCAAGCAGTGCTGTCTTTATCAAGTGCAGTACTGAGGTATTTAAATTAAAAATTGTACAGGATGCACTTCATGCATTATCAGTTACGAACTTTGTACAATAACGCATTATAATCTGGCTGTCTTACATTATAAGGAAATCATATATGTGCTCCTTTACAAGCTTTTATCAGCATAAAATACACAGTTGTTAACAAAATCACTGTTTCTTTCATCTGGTGAGTTATTTAACTACAGTATCAATATCTAGACTGCATAGTGTTTGGGGGTAGGATGACTGATAAATTATGAACTGGATAGGAAGCAGTTGTGGCCAGGTGAAGTACTGTGTCATCATTTACCCAGAGGGACTGAGGAAAATGAGAAGAAAAAAAAGACCTCAGCATAGATGATGCTCATGCTAACATTTCAACCAAGCACCTCTTGAATCAATTTCTAGAGCATTATCTGTAGATCAACCTGTTAGGTCAATGTTTTGAAAGTAGTTGTCAATTGAAATGTATATTATATGTTCACAGTATGTTAATAATAGTAATATATGTAATATAATAATAATAATAATAATATACATATCAAGTATGCTCAGTTTTGATACTTTATATGCTTTAATCACATTCAGTTGCTTGTCCAGTGTTCAATATATTTGTTGTATAAGTTTGTGATTTTTTATAACTGATGTGAAACTTGTTTTATTCACACATATATTAAGCCCTGCTCATGTTAGAAGATGACATTTACTGATTATGAATGGTCTTTATACATTTGCTGTAGAATAAAATAGTTTATTTGAATGTTGTCCATTTTGCCTTCTGTATGATTGTGGTTTATATGCTTTTAAGATCTTTCTGAGCCTGCACAGTAGCTGTAGTACTATTTAATTACTGCAGCTTTGTTTTGACTTTTTTTGTCCAATTTCTTTTATATGTTTTGAATATAGCTGCATCTTATGCAGTGGCGGCTTGTAGCTAAAATTAGTAGGGGTGCTGCTCTAGAAAATTTATAGCCTTTGTTTTAAAATTGTATAAAAGGAAATAAACATGTATAAAAAGAAAATTTATTCAGAAACTTGATAAAATCCTAAAAGAACAAAATCAAACATTTTTTACTTGCTTTAACCTAAATTGTTACAGTTCAAGCTTAATCTATTCATTTAAAAATGAAATCCATTCTTTTTAACCTTTATATTATGCTCATTGATTGAAAGTCTGTATGCCTCACTAAGTTTCTCCTTAATACTTACGGTTCCTAAAAGTGACAGTGAAACTACATCATCAACGTGCTTCTTTGACTTCTCATGCTTTTCAGTTTTTTCTTTCATTTTGTTTATATTTCTAAAACCATCTTTTGTCCACGTTACATCACCCCCAAACAGCAAACACGGGAAGCAAAACAGTGCATGTTTTACTTCACAGCTGCAAAGCCAACTTTTCCGTTTGTATCATTCAGAATTAAAGCTACGAATATATTTCTTGTTCTTGCTTATGCCTGGCTGAGATATTAGAATATCAGGTGTTAAACGACCTCTTTTCTTAACTGCAACTTTCTCATGGAGAGACAGTTGTGAAAACTTAAGCTGTTGAGGTTCACTTACAGTCACAGAACTTATTTCTCAGGGATGCAAGGCCATGGTTAAAGTTTTCTGTTAAATAAAAGAACCGAAAAAAAAAATGAATCAAATAGAATAGCTGGAAGCAGGATAATAATCTAATTCTACAATTAACTCATAGATTTTAAGCACAACACACACGGAGTAAAAAAAAACTACCTTCCACCAGCACACCAGGGTTGGCACCGGTCGGCACTGTCGTTCCTGCAGTGCTCCCTCTCCCTTGCAGCCTCGCGTGTAGCTTCCTATGTGCGCATGCGCACAGTCAACGAACACCTCGCCGCTGGAACTGTGAAAATCACAGTTCATACAAAGATTTGGCTACTGACATTAAGCTTAAGGATTATATATTGTATTGTACAAGTATAAAGAAAGAATTAAAGAAAAAAGGACTCTTTATATATATGTTATCGAAAATATCAAGTGGAATTTGGGAGTGCTGCAGTTCCGCAGTGCCTATACACGGGCCGTCCCTGATCTTATGCCAATTTTCTTTCCCTTTAATAGATACAGATTCCGTGTTGTCAATAATGGGTTTGCAATTCTATATGCTTTTGTACATAGATTCCTGTTATCAAGGATTACAATAGAACAGATACATCATGCTGTTGATATTATTTTATTTTGGAAAGGAAATACAGTAAAACTTGGTTATAGCAACATCGGTTTCTGCGACACTTTGTCTATTGCATTAAATATTCAGTGGTACGAACTAATTCCTCATAAAGCAACTGTTTTTATACCTTGCTTAGTACGACATGCACAAATGCATCAACCTCGTATGTAACGTCATTTTCATTCCTGAATTTCTCTGATATCATGGGAAAGTTCGATGTGTCTGCCCACCCTCACTTTCTCTACTTGCTGACGTGACTGTCCTGGAAGAATACGACCGCGGGCTGCAAGAGGAGCGTGGGTTTTATGCGAAAACAAGGGTGTGGGGTGGGACTGCGTGAATAGTGCAAGAGGACGCGGCAGGTTGTTAACTGCATTCCTTTCCTAGAATCTCGTCTAACAGGACCTCACATTGTCTACTTACCCTATAGTGTTCCTGCCTAAACCCAGAGAAGTGCAGTAGCGAAAACATGGCAATGAAAAGGAAAGTTTTAAGCACTGAAGAGAAAGTTAAAGTGATCCGTGAAATAGAAAATGGAAGGAAAAACGCTGATGTATGCCGCGAATTTGGTTTGGTGAATTCTACAGTACAAACGATATGGAGAATCCATATTAATTCCACGTTAATGTTACGTTAGTTTGTACTTAACTACGTATTTCACTAAAAAATGCAACATTTTAACTCGGTTTTTGGTAGATTTTTATGTGACTAACATAAGGCTACTGTGGAAGTGCTCATTTCGGTTACAACGACATTCGTTTATAACGACACTATTTTTAGGTCCCTTTGATGACGTTATAACCAAGTTCTACTGTAATTTATTCTGAATTTTCTGTATTGCAGATTTGCACCTGTGTTAGCATCATTACTTTCTTCTTCAAGTGATATTTCAGGACTTCCACCTGATAGTGATGAAGATATAGTACAGAAACAACAAGATGTTGTGAAACCCCAAAGACTAGTGAGTATTATCTCTGGTAATTTGCAGGTAGATATCAAAATATTTGCTGAAACTTTGTGAACTGTCACAATTTCTCATAGGAGTTTATCAAAATGAAATCTTATAATTTCATACTGAAGTTCCAGGATAGCTCAGTTGGTATAGTGACAGGCCACAGGCTGGATGTCCGAGGGGGTCTGAGTTTGAGTTCAGTTGGGTCAAGAATTTTCACTGCTCCATGTCATCCAGACCATCTGTGGGGCCCACCCAGCCTCCTATCCAATGGGTACTGGGTGGGGGGGGGGCAACTTTACTTTTTTTACCTTACCATCATTTAATATTTGTAGTAGCTCTAGACTTCAAAATTCTAAAACAATTCTGTTTGTTCATGAAAACAAATATTGTACAGGTTGATGATGATCAAATTGTTGGTCACCGACTGGTCTCCGGTACCGCAGTACATGGGGCAAACAGTTCTAAAACCAATGTCAACACTTGGCCATCCCCAATTGTATCTCAATTGCCAGAGCAACAGAATAAATCACATAAACGCAACACCAAACCCAAGCGCAAGGATTTGAGAAAAAGTAAACGAGGTGATGACACATCACAAGGAAGACAAAGAGCACTGCAGAAAAATTCAACAACAGTCATTCACAAGACAACATTATTTGCAGATAAGGAGGAAGGATTGATGATCAGGCAAAGTGTGGGAGCTGGCACGTTTCAGAAAAACTCCCATGCTAATCCAGGCAAGAAGTAAGTATTTTTGTTGTCTCATGTTAGTGACTCTCGACGGGGTTTGGATTGGAAATTGGCTTTATTGACCCTTTTAACACACAACTCATAACTACACTTAATTATAGCATCATCGCTGATCTCCACACTTTACACTAGAGCACACAGATTAGTGTCCTAAGTCTGTTACAATCTCCACTGCTTGTTTCCTTGTAACAGCTCCAACAGTACCTTTTCCTCTTCCATTCCCCTCTGAATGGCTGTTCCCATCCAACTGCATATGTTTGCTCCGTTAGTATTCAGTATTCAGAGAAAACCTACTCCAGTGCCACTTTGTGCCCCACAAATCCCACTTGACCAGACCTGGGATCGAACCCTGGCCGCCACGGTGGGAAGCCAGTGACTAACCGCCCCAGTATTGCTTTTGAATAAGCCTCTGTGGTCTAGTGGTCATAGTTCCTGGCTACAGTTTCAGAGGTTCCAGGTTCGATTCCCAGCGCTACCAGATTTTCTGAGGAGTAGTGGTCTGGAATGGGGTCTGCTTAACCTCGTGAGGATAATTGAGGAGCTAGTGCAAAGAAATAGCGACTCCGGTCTAGAAAACCAAGATTAACGGTCGTAGGAAACCGTTCCACTGACCACACGACACCCTCTGTCCACAGAAGTTGACATTAACTTCGCCGACAAACAGCAGTCATTTGGTTGTATAGTTCACTCACAGACTACAGGCCACAGAGTTTCTTTGTTTGTTTTGCTTTTGAATAATATCACTGTTATTTTGGGTGTGACAGAAATATACTTTAATTGCCAAATACAACAGGATATTTCAGCACAGATTTTTGTACAGTGTAAATGTATATTTCAAATTCCTTTGTTGAAATATTGAAGTATAATATAAATATTAATTTATAAAGTTGTTACTAATATTTATTTAAAGTAACAGATCTTATCCATTACATTAGTCTATAAGCCACAACCTAGTGAATTGCTTCCTATGACACTAATGGGTCACAACCTACAGTTTGAAAAACACTGATATAGAGGATACCATTACTGCTTGATTTTAAGGAGATAAGCAATTTGAATCTTATTTGAGACTGGCAACACACATCTTGTTATCTATTTTTAAGTCATTGGAGGTGAAGTAGGGTCCTTGTGCTTTAATTAGTTAAGCACTGTGCTATGAAGATGAGAAGGGGAGTGGATGTATAGATCCATATTTTCTTGACCTCGACATTAGTTGGAGGTAAGTGGTTAGCTTCACACCCCATCTCCTTTGCCACTGGGGAAAGATCTTGCAGTACCCATTGGATAGGAGGCTGAGTTGGCCCCAGATCCAGTCTAATTGACATGAAGAAAAGAAAATTCTTGATCCTACTGGGACTGACACTCCAGCCCCTCAAGTTATCCAGCCTGAGTCAGTTGCTCTACTAACGGTAAAACTACTGTAAAACAAACCTCAAACTCTTTCTCCTCCACTTTCCCAAATTCACTGTTGGAAATGATTCTTGTATTGCTCAGAATTTCATAACCACCGCAGTTAATATAGCATAATTAAAATAAATTGAAACAAACTAAGATTAAAAATTATTTTCTCTCGACAGTTTGGACTTAGGACTGTGCTTGTAAAAGCAACATGTGCTAGAGACACTTGAAGAAAATCGGAATAGAGAGTCGAGAATATGAATGACTACATTCCTTTTATCACTTCCACCTTCGCCATTCAGCAACAAAAAAATAGTTTTCATTGTTTAGAGGATTGTGAGTTGACCATATACACTAGTATGACATTAGGCATTCATTTACAGTGTATTGTATCTACAGTCTGGTGCTATATTTTGTTGTAGTTGCTTTGTAACTGCTTAAAATGGGCAACTACACATTATGAAAAATCACACTTGCCAGAACTCTTTTGCATTTTGCAGGATTCTTCCACTACAAAATTCATTTCATATTATCACTGACAGTGAGGAGGAAAATAATGAGAAGGAAACAAATAAGAATGCGAAAGCATGCAGAACAGTGAGTACTAGTTTCTGTGTATTAATTGTTAGCACAGGGAAGTAGGGAATTAGGCTACTGAAGTTCTACAAGCATTTGTCTTGTTGTCATACTTCTTTAATTATTTTTCAACTGCTCTTGGATGTCTGAGCTGTTGTAGCAAAGCATGTTGCATTGCCTGCTGTATGCACTGTGTATTTCTACAATTTTTTTTTTAGATTACCAGTATTTTTTGTGTGATTTTTATACTGCCTGCAAGAGACTGTACACATTCTCCTGTTTTTTTTATGACAAATATGTGAAATACTTCACTGATTCTACTTTTCACCTGTGAACAGTAGGGCGCTTATTGTTGATGGCATACATCATGTTAATAGCCAAACATTGCTTCCATGACACTTGTCAAAACTGCTTGATAAGAATTTCCATGTGAAAATATGTTCTTATGACTGCTGTATAGTCAGTGCATTTCATTGAAGCATATTGTAATTAAGAAATTTTAAATGAACTTGAACTCAGTAATTAGTCATTCTAGAGAAAGCTAATTTAAGAATTTTATTATATTTTCCACAAATACATTTTTAGGTAAGTATAGTCCTGTGCTTTTGTTGATTTTTATTCTAGTTTTCCTCTTTAAGTGCTCATAATCCAAGGAAATTTGAAGCTTGTCTAAAACATTTTCTTTATACACATTATTTTTATTCCATTGATGAAAATCTTCAATTTAAGGCTATTGCAAGTCAATGACATACCAAAGAATTTATATATAGTTTAATAAATTATGTTTATTGTCACCAAGTTTTAAAACTATTAGTAATAGAACTTTTTATATTTCTGTCATCATTTTATTTTATTCTATTTTTTGGCTTATTTTTCTTTTATATATGTACCACTTGACATGTTCCATATCCTACCTCTTATACTGTGGATCTATAGAATGTAAAAAAAAAAAAATGAATGAATGAATGAATTAGTGTATTTAGTCTTCCACTGTTTTGTGGTTATATTGTTAATTTAAGCCCTTCAATTCTTCAGATTGTTACCAGTTAAAATGTTCTTACTGTTAGGGAATATTTTTTTTTAAAGATTTAAACTTACATAAATTTGTTTTGGTTTATCCTGGTACATCACACTAGCAATAGTATAAAAGATTATCCATCTGAAGATGGTTGCTCCAACTGAAGCACGTCAAGGATGAAAGATTAAAAAGGAGAAAAACGTTAATAATCACACTGGATGGAGTTGATAATCTTTTATATTTAAACTTACTTTTATTTTGTATATATGTTCAATACTTTATATTTATAGGGAAGTCTGAAAGGCCTGTCACCAGTTAAAAGTACTCAGGATATTAATACTATGAAATCTGTTAATGCACGTGTGGTAACTAGTACCCCATTACAAAGACAAAGGAGTTCTGGTGATGGTGTCAGCTCTTTGCCATCCCCAATTCTGCCAGATGTTCCACCATTAACAGTCAAAATAAAAAGAACAGGTACATCACAAACATCACTTGCAGAATCAGAAAAGATGTAAGTGGTACTTATTAATATAGTGTTTCTATAGTGAAAAAAACAATATAGCACACAAATAACCATAATAATTGATGCATTATCCAAATATGTTTTTAATTCAGTTACAAATATAATTTTGTTCATAAATTACATTTTAATATAGTGTATCAGATGTTTTGCGAAAATAATAGTTAAGTAATAAGCAGTACCAGTGTTTAGATATACAAGGTGTGGCAATAAAGAACCCGGATTACTTTTATGACTCATTTCCGGCCACGTCATTGACGAAGAGGAGGGTAGGGCATTGACCCTTGGACTTCCCTCTACCGTCACACAAAGTTTCATTCACGTGCATCGGTTAGTCTGGCCGCGACCATTGTTAGAAGCGGATCGTGTTTCTGAGCTCCGTCGGAATAATGCTGAGTGCTAATGCAGAACAACGTGCTAACATCAAATTCCTCACAAAACTTGGAAAATCTGCCACTGAAACTTACAATTTGTTGACAGAAGTATATGGTGATCAGTGTCTATCTCGCACGCAAGTTTTCGAGTGGTTTAAGAAGTTTATGGAGG